ACTAATCTATTATAATTTGTCTCAGACATCTGTTTACGAAACTTTGTATTTTCTGTATCATTGTTTCTGTTGTGAGCCATGTTTCACGCCCATTTAATAACACTGGGATGATGTTTGTTTTGATCATAAATAAATAAATAATAAATATAAAAAATTATATATTTTTTATAACAAATAAATGTTATTATTGCTAATTTAACAATATGTATTCTTCTCTGTATATACTTAACAGACTTAAATCTGAAAACTTTTTAACCACCTTGCACGACCTAAACTTTTATCCAGAAGACAATTATTCCGAATTTGTACAGGAAGCACTTGGAGTCTTTACTTATCCTTTCTATATATTTTTTGCTTAATTTGTATGTTTATTTTTTTACAAAAATTATACTAAGATCCTTATGAGTAATCTAATATGATACTGCGAAGCTTTCGCTATATTGTAAAGTTGTTCAGATTTCAAGATATCGATAATTAGATCATAAAGATTTAACAATAGTTCAAATATTTGCAATATTATTTAGTTTACATTATGATTCGCTTTCTTTTTTTTTTCTAAATTTCCTTCCACTTTAAAAGCCACTCGGCCCATTAATCTTAACTACATCCGTAGATATTAGTATAGTTCGGCTAGAAGTTCAACTGTTATGAAAATAATTATACTAACTGCCTACGTTATACTTCAATAAAAACAGGGATAACTGCACTTAATAGGGAATCTAAATTATTTTATTAGTTTTCGTAGAATTCTTTTTTACTTTCTCCAAAGGACCCTCTGACAAAGTTTGTTATATAACATAACACTGGGATTTGACGTAACTTTATCTTTTTATAACTCTACCTCAAAATGTATCATCTGTGTGTTGTATAGGTTCATATATATTTCTTAGATTAGTCTATTTTAAATTAGTTATTATTTGAAATATTATTTTTTATTATTTTTTTAGAAATTGCATTAATAATTTAAGATTTTGCGTTTAAATATAAGGAAATATTCACGATGCCACTACTTTTCAGTGTCCAAATTTTCATTCCTAACAAAATATGAGCCTGATAAGTATTTAGTACATGAATTCTTTCTACTCGCATGTCATCATTTTCTACTCGAAGAGTTTTCAATGTCCTTAGGTAGTTATTTGAACTGCCTGTCTTTGTTTTTAGAACCGTCCTCGTTGGCGCTAAGTGCTTGTTTGAGATATTAAAATATTTATCATTTTTATTTGTAAGCTTCATTATTATTTTGAAGCTGTTTGAGCCAGTGCACTTAAGCACTTTTACTCTTTATTAACTCGAGGTATTTTCAAAACCCCTCTTTACACCTTGACTAGATTATTGTTTATCACTTCATCAGACTAAGCAATAATTGACCTTAGATCTGCATACCTCAATCCTTCATGTTTATCATGATAAACATAATAATAATAATGACAGCTTATTAGAACACTGTAGTACTTATATACACAAACTTGGGTTACTACCATGAGTTTTTTAACATTAAATGCCTTTGAATTATTCTAATTTATTTGAAATCTATGTTTATTATATATATGTATATATTATATATTATTATTTCAGTAGAACTAACGTGTAGTTCCACAAGTAGATGTAACAAATTTAAAATTATAAAGCAGATATTGAGTTTTCTTTATATATATGCTGAAGCAACATTTTAATAACCCTCTTCTTTATATCTATAATAACTTATAACACAAAAGTACATTTAATCTATGTTCATTTATAATGAAATAACTTTATGAACTTTAAGTAATTTATTCAATATATTATCATTTGTTACCTTACCACTTAAATTCCTAAAATAGCATTGAAGTACATTTTGTGATATTGGCAATAATTTTCTTCTTCTTTCTTAACGAAGGAACTATTGAACACCTCTCCATTCTCCATTCTCCAATGCCTTTTTCAATGATTTCGTATTTATTTTTGCATTTTTAGCAAATCATAAATTGCCTGCAATTGTTTTTATTAGGCATTATTTACCTTAAACCATAATTATTCTTTATGTAAGAGTGTATTTACCAAATGGCTTTCCTTATGCATTCCTTTACACATTATATTTATCAAGATTACAGCGACAAACGCATTATTCTCGTTCGCATAATTCTCGTAATACTTTCTGGAGTATGTGCCACGCCGAAGAATCCACGCATTGCCAACATTACAATCTCGCTGAAAAGAGCGCAGAGGTCACGTAACTCCATTTATATTAAATTATCTTTCCATACTAATAAATTGAAAGCAATTATAGGGAATTATCGTTATTTATTGTAAGATTGTAAGATATAAACCGACATTTGCAAACGATATTTTCTTGCAATTTAATGTCTTCCCTTTTTGCCTTCACTCACTTCATTCATCTCTATCTGCTTCGCTTGATATCTTTACAGTTTTTGTTTAATTTCAATTAATTGAACTTTTTTTCTTTTTTTTTATAATTTTATTTATTTTTTTTTTCTTTTTTGAACAACTAAATATGCAATATAAGCTATTATTTCCGTGTTAGTGTTGGAAAATGATAAATGGATAAACTCAAGTATCTTAAATTCTTATGATTGTTATTATTATTGTTGTTGTTGTTGTTTTGTACTAATGAGACATTTCCTTTTAGTTTCTGATAAATTTTTCCTTCAATATATATTGTACATATAGCGGAGTCCCACCATCAATCTACCCTCCCACTGCTTAGTGCTTCACACTTAATTCAGTTTTAAATTGCTAAAATAATGAACGTTAAACGAGTGTAATTAAATGTAATTATTTGAGTTTAAATTTAATATATTTAGTATTTTCACATATTAATTTAATGGTGTTGTTGCTTTGTTTTTGCCTTTAATTGCAATCAGAAACAAGCCAACCAAGACGACAATGAATTTAAAACAAAGAAAGTCTTACATAATTAATTTTGTTGAGTCATTTTTGTTTAAATTAAAATTTGTTAATAAACCCAAAAGGCAAATGAGCTTTGATTGTACAATATATAATATTAACACAAATAAAATTTCTTAAAATAAATATGGATTGTCTTATGGATTGTTCGTATTTAGAATCTATATGTATTAGTTTTAGGGTCGCGAAATATAGTACAGTTCTCGAATATTGAAGAAAAGCTTCTTTATACAAACAAACAATGAAAACTTTATTTAATACAATACTGAAAATTATAATCCTTATTTCATAAAACTTTTTTCTATAACACTTTTCTCGATTGGCACTCTGACAAAGTAAGTTTAAAGCTATATAATACACTGCATTACCACTTAACTCATACGCAGGACTTTGACGTATCTTATGACTTCTCACTTTTCTGACTTTTACTCGTTTTATCACACTTTAAAATATATAAAAACAATTACCGCTAAAAGTGCCTTCAAAATAATATTTTAAAATAAAAGTGGGACCCATTGGAAAATAGTCCGCTCTAAATGTGTTAAACCACAAATGAACATCTTTTGCATATGATTTTAAAACGTAATAGATATATTGAACCATATTTTATTAATAAATTCAAAGAAATAATGACATTATTTTTACTCTAATAACTTTTACTCTTTTCCATTCACTATCTGCGCCCTTGATCGAATGATAACTCAACCCGAAAAATCAAAGTTATACATATAGCAAAAACTTAGTTGATTAGACGTTTAGCATCTAATAAAAATATACCCAATAAGAAATTAAAGATTTCAAAAACCTGACCGATGGTCAACCGTAAAAATGAAAAAAAAGCATATAACAAAAACTTAGTAGTTGATCAGACTTATACATCTATTACAAAGACGTCCAATAAAAATTTAAAAATTATAAAAACCTAAGCATAAGTACACCAAAATTCAGCATGAAAATCTATATCAACAGCTACAAAATATATTTTTTTGAAACCGAGAGATTAACAGTATACCTAATTTTCAAATCTACAACCCATCTACAAATCTATTATATGGACTATAAAATTAGCTTACAAATGGGAAAGAACTAAAGTGCCAGCTGAAACTAAACACAAAAAAAATTCGAAAGGACTCCATAAGAGATAAACCACCTTCTGAATTTAAATTGTTTCATACAAACTTATGGTGATAAAATATCTATATTTTATTACCATAAATTCAAACAATATGCTTTAACACTAAAAGTATTGACGTGACATATAGAATGAACTTTCAGTACTGTTTAAATATAATAAACACTTGTATAACTGCAATATCTCAATCCAGATAAACAGTTATTGTGTGAATAGGATAACATTAATAAACTGTATTAAGTAGGAGAAATTATAAAAGTGCTAGAAGTACTTCATAAATATGCTATTTTTATTTACTATTGTCATTTGTAATATATATAAAGTTGTAAGTCCGATAATGTCGAATTGAGTTTTAATAAATATGAAGCATTTCAATATATAATTAATTATTGAATCCAGTGCATTTTATAAATAATAATATATTTGTTTTGAAAAACAAAAATAACAAGTTTTTATTGAAAATGAATCATATATCTATATATATAAAAGT